TTAACTAAAAACAATTCACATGAAACCACTCAAACATGCACCTGTTGGTAAAAAATGTCCAGACCACATTCCAAAGCAGCAAACACAGGAGAAGCAAATCAGATAATTATTATTTACATTCTTTTCTGAGGCTTCTCAGCTTCCCAGGAGAAGAAATCCTAGGGAAGGGATTTCTCAGAAAATATGACAGTGACACCTGGACACCCAACCCCTTGGGTGTTATCCCACCAAGTTCCATTTACCTCAGTGAAACAATGGATGTGAGGATTGCAAGACTGGGCCTGACATTTGGAGGCAAGAATGCTCAGAACACATGGACCTTTGGCAAGTCAGGGACAGAGAACAGGTTTGAGTCAAAATGTAAGTGAATACGCAGCCCACTTGATCTTCTGATCGTGTTTTCCTTAATACTGACAATTCCTGACAAAGTTAACCACTTTAATGAGGCCAAGGGAAAATTTGGCATGAAACAAGCATAACAGTGCCCTCCTACATCAAATGTTGCTAATATTTTATGGCAATTATCACAATCACAAATTGGTACTTTACAATCTGTCTTAGTAAATATTCAACTGAAAAGCAAACATTAGTATGTTAAATCCAACTGACTCAGGAATGCACAATTAGATGTTGTCTAGACGTGAGCAAAGCCTTTGACACCACTTCCCACAGAATTCTTCTGGAAAAAACCTGGCTTGGACTGGTACACTGTTCACTGGAGCTGGGAAAGGGTCTGGAACACAAGCCCTGTGAGGAGCAGCTGGGGAAACTGAGGGTGGTCAGCCTGAAGAAAATGAAGCTCAGGGGTGACCTTATCACTCTCTACAACTGCCTAAAAGGAAATTGTTGGGGAGATTGGTCTCTTCTCCCAAATAACAAGCAACAGGACAACCAGAAAAGGCATCAAGTTGCAACAGGGGAGGTTTAGACTGATATTAGGGAAAATTTCTTCCCTAATAGGGTTGTTAAGCACTGAAACTGGCTGCTTGTGGCTGAGTTGCCATTCCTGGAGGTATTTAAGAGATATGATGTGGTGCTTAGGGACATGATTTAGTGGTGGCCTATATGATCTTAATGGTCTTTTCCAATCTAAAAGATTATATGATTCTAATTATTAATCTCTGATGGTTCAATTCTGCCACCTTCAAGAGTTATTGAGGAAAGAAGTGGATATTGATACTGTTTTCACATAACCATGATTATTTTATTTTCTGTCACGTCTATGATGATTTATGGGATCCATACACAATGCACAAAATCTGATTTAAGGCCCTCTCTCTATGCATCCTCTGTCAAGCTCAGTGGATCATAATCTTGGCACGCCCATATCTTTCCCATTGTGCTTATATCAAAAATCTGGGCTTCAGGAGACCTTGTCAGATAAAGTCAACTGTTCCAAACCAAACTTACACATAGTTATCAATATTTATAAAATATTTCTTCCAGTAGTTATGAAAAACAAACAAACTGAAAATGAAACCTCTTCAATCTTTTAAAGCAATCTCTTCCTGTGTTTTTCATAATCCCTTTCATAATGGCAGGAAGGCCTCCATTACGGAAATTTGTTTATTCCCTTCTGCTCCCTCCCAGCTCTGTGTTGTATGTATTTGTAGGCTGTGATTAGAGCTGAGCTTTCATTAAACTAAAGAAACCATTTCTTCCTTGGCTGTGTGTCCTGAGCCTTGGACCCTTCTCACAGCCCCTTGCACTGTGCCATTGTTCCATTTTGAATAAAACACCACCCAAAAACTTGGCAGCACTTCCCCAGAGACCCAACCAGTGCTGAGTATGACTGGAGGAGTCCAGGATGGTTTCTCATATCTGGCAGACTCTGCTGTTGTTTATGCAATCCAAAAGGTGATGACCTTTATTGCAATATTGTGACACTGTAGATCCATGCTAAGCTTGTTAATCACTGCAACCTCACAATTTCTTCATGCATAGTGAGCTGGAATTCCAAAGGGTAACAACACAGATGTAGGAAGGCAGCAGCCTGTGCAAACTGGCCCAGAAGGATGTTTGTCCTGCCTGCCCAGGAGCAAGGAGGGCAGGGAAAGATGTCAGTCTTCCAGAACTGCTGGCTGGACAACTCTCATGTGTATTCTTGCCTCAGGTCTGCCACAGGGTGTGTTTGTGGTGCACTGCCAGGCTGAGCAGAGTGAGGGAGATGTGAGAAACATTTAGGTGAGTTGCAGAAGGAGAGCATAGGAGGAATACTTGTGGAAGATTGCCAGTTGTTGATAAACAGTGGTCTTTTGGACTATACTCTTCCTTGATCAAATTCTGATAAACTTCTCCTCAAATTTCATTATTTCCAACAAATGTTCTGCTCTGACCAAGGGGATCTGATTTGAGAAGTCAGGTTACCTTAAAGAAAATAAACTGTATAAATCTATGCACAGTCCACTGAGAGGCCAGGAGCTTGAGGAGGTATCATCCAGGCAGTTCTACAGCAGCAGCTGTTGTGGGAAGCTGAGAACAGCTGCTCATTGCTGACATTTTAATCTAACCTGCCCTGCCTTTTTCTTTTTCTCTTAATGAATCTTTCTGTCACCCATTGAGCAGTTATTTACTCCTTGAACAGTCTGAGTAATCCCCAAATTTGGAGGAGTACCTGGGAGCTATTTTTTTGAGAAGGATAGCGCAGTAGGAAGCACAATCACTATGAAATTGGAGCTTAGCTTCACTTTTTTCTGAGACACACAGTCCTTTTTATGAGGGAGAGGCCTGGCTTCTTAAAGAATAAATATAGCAAAGTCTGTAAAAAAAAACACTGCTCAGAAATTGTGTATTCACCTTTAGATTAGCAGCTTTCTGGAAAGGAAGGAGAATTGTTTTCTAGCCTTTGTTTTGCATGTGGCAACTTTTTTAGGGTATGGAGATACAGAATCCCCCATACTTTGAAAAATGTTAGGGCTGGATACTGAGTCATACACATCCTGTGCATGCAGGTTCTACTCCTTAATCCTTAATTAAAAACCATCAAGAGAGGCTTCAGATATTCCTCTGGGGAAAGCATAAAATTTGCTAGGAACTGGATTTTGTTGGACATTTCAGAATATTAGGAAGAAAGTAGCAATCCTGCATAGAGCTGGTATCTTTGCTTACAAGGTCAAAGTGGTGCAATGAGCACTAATGCTGAGCAAAGGATGAAAACCAGAGAAAAGGGGGAAAAAATCTGTATTCCAACAATTGTCCTCTAAGCTAGAGGAGTGGGAACGTACCTGATGCAGATAATTCATTCCTCTGGCCCTCCATGGAGATGCAGTGATCTCTGCAATTCAAAAAAATTATGTATTGAAGTGCTGAAGCAGCAGTTGTAAGGCCAGCCTAGAATAAGCCCTAAGTTTTTTAATGCAAGTGACAACTGAAGAGAGAACAGTATGTTCTGTCATTTTCCAACAGATTACTTATGATGAGGAAAATACTCTTTCACATTTTTAAGAAATAATCACACTATTCCTAGAGTCAATTCAAAGCTATCCACGAAGAAGAACAAGAGGCATCAGGTGCCATTTCTTGTTGTGAGCTGTGATTGGAGCTGTGATGGTCAATAATGACAAATGGCCAGAGGAAGATGAAATTCCCAAACACATTACCAAGACTCTCAGCAGAGTCTTGATGTATTGTAGCACTTTCCAGCCAACGCATACATCTTCTTTTACTCTTTGGCAGCTTTCTGAAGGGTTTTTTTTTTTTTTCTTTTGGGTCAATAACACACAATTGCAGTCACTTCAGAACCCAGCTGCAAGGGTGGTGCTCTGTCAGGGCACCCACAGCTTGGGCCAGCGTGCCACCTCCAGGCACTGCTGCCTGTGGGGCTGCCACAGGTGGCATCTGTGGCTCCACGAGGCTTTCTGAACACTCAAGGAAGGGAGCTGTCACACAGGTGGGATGTTTGTGCCAGTCCTGGCTTCCCAGTGGGATGTGGGCAACTGTGGGTGGGTCATGGCATGGCACAGGGGAGCATGGTTTGTCCACCCCACTCTACCACCATAACTCCTAAACCACATCACCCAGTGTCAGATCCAGATGTCTCCTAAACACCTGTAGGAATGGTAACTCCACCACTTCCCTGGGCAACCTCTTCCAATGTCTGAGCACCCTAACACTGTGAAAAAATCTGAATTGCCTCAGCCTAAGCCTAAGGCCATTTCTTCTAGTCCTCTCACTGTAGGCCTGGGGAGACTGGCCCCCACTTCACTGCAATCTCTTTCCAGGTAGAAAATGCTCCTTTACTGTGTCCAGTTCTGGACAGGACAGGAGAGGCATGGAGCTCCTGGAACAGTTCCAGTGGAGGGCAATGAGGACGAGTGGGGGACTGGAGCATCTCTCTTATGAGGAAAGGCTGAGGCCTGCTCAGGTTCGAGAAGAAACGACTGAGAAGGACCTCATTAATGGACATTAATATCTAAATGGGGGCTGTCAAAGCATGGACCAGGCTTTGCTTGATGATGCCCAGCGAGGGAACAGGAGGTGAGGGGCAGAAACTGATGGTCAGAAGTTCCACCTGAGCATGAGGAACAACTTCACTGGGCAGTGACTGGGCAGACAGAGTATGGAAGGCTATAATTTTCACTGGACATACTCCAGAGCCACACGGTAACAACCCTGTGCCAGCGCTCCGGGCTGGCCCTACTGGAGCAGGAGGCCGGACCTGGTGACCCAGCGCGGTCCCCTTCCAGCCTGCCCCATCCCGCGCCGCCCGCAGTGCCGAGGCGCGGCGCTCGCCGCTCCCGCCGTTTCCGAGCCCGGGGGGGATCGGACGGGGCCCGGCGCTCGGTGCCGTTGGCTCGGCCGGGCGGGGAGGCCGCGGGGAGCGTGACCGCGTGACGCCGGTGGGTGTGCAGGGAGCCGTGTCCCCTCCACAGCCCCGGGCAGCGGGCTCGCCGGCAGGCGGCCATTGGGAGCCGGCCGGTGCCCGCCTCCGTGCGGCGGGGGGTGTGTGACAGGCGGGCAGGGCGAGCGCGTCACGCCGTCCGCGCTCCGCCCCCCGCTCCTGCTCCTGGCGCCGCCAGCTCGGCCCGGCGCGGGCAGGCGCGCGCGGCGCAGCCATGGAGCCGGAGTGCCGGGTGCTTTCCATCCAGAGCCATGTCGTCCGCGGCTACGTGGGCAACAAGGCGGCCACCTTCCCCCTGCAGGTGAGCGGGCGCGGACCTGCTCCTCTTCCTCCTCCTCTCCCTCCTCCTTTCCCTCCGCCGCTCTTCCCTGCGGGCAGGCGGTGTGACGGCAGCGCTGCCCGGCGAGCTCCGGTGCCCAAGCGGCTCCTGCCAAGCCGGGATAAGGGAAGGGCACGGCGGGGAGATGCCCGCACGGGCGCCCTCCCCGCCCGCTCCGCTGCCGGGGGCAGTGCCCGTCCCGGGGCTCCGCGCACCCCGCGGCCGCTGCGGCTGCGCCTCCCGCCGGCTCCGCGCCGCTCCCGTTAACGCAGCTCCTCCGGGGGCTGTGGCACGGCGGGCTGTGCCAGGGGAGGCGAGCCGGGAATGCTGCCCGTGGGTTTGCTCGCTGCCTGCGGGCTGAGGGCGGCTCCGCTGCCGCCAGCAGGGGCAGCCAGCCGGCGCTCCTGCCCCTTAAGGCAGGGTGATCGCCGTGTCCCGTGCCGGGGACCCGGGGCAGCGGTGTCCTTGTGCTGGCACCCAGCTAAACCCCGCCGGCCCTCAGGGGCAGAGACTGGGTGATCCCCCAGCCCGGATGGTCTGGAAAAGCTCTAGTGGGGTGTCGGGGCCCCTTAATGCGTGTGACAGGCAGGGCCAGAGGAGCTGCCTGACATGGCCCGGGGCTGGAGGTGTAATTGGATCTTGGCCTTCGTGCCTGTCATGTGCTGCCTTCGGAGTTGTTTGCTTGGATCTCGCCGGTGCTGGGAAAACATCGGGCGGACCTTTGCACATCGCACTGTTGGCTCTTGTGGAAGGTCTGTGTCCTAAAGGGCGGATTTGGGCCTGCCCATCGGGAGGTCTTTGTGCCTTTAATCAGGAATGTCGGTGTGGAGCTCTCCAAGAGCCTCGCTACCAGTGCACACTGTGTGTGACATTGGTTATCTTGGTGTGTGCTTACAAATGGTGTAGCTCATTTGACTAGACAGGAGAGATGATGTACTCGATAAATGATGCAAGTGAGATCAGGTCTGCAACAAGCCACTGGCACACCCCCAAAGCACCATCCAGTTATAACGTAACCAAGACTCTTAAAAATTAATGTGTGGTGAAGGGTGATGTACGTGTGTAATCCGAGTATTGTGGAAAAATACGAGTATGTAGAGCTCCAGGCCAAAAATGTGATCATGAACTGCAGGTCACCTGTCCTTCCTTTCCTAGCAAAATGATCTCGAAATTGTGCTTCTCCCTTCAATTTCGGTGTAGCAGAAGAGAACACAGCAGTACTTATTCCAGAAACCTCCAGTCTCTTAAGCTGTTCTCTCTCTCCATTCTAATTCTCTGTCAAAGGTTTTCTTTACTTTTCTGTGGCTTAACCTTTCTGTGGCAAGTGAGCTGTGTAACTTGGTAAATGGGTTCCTGGAAAGTGTTTTTAGTTCCTTGGCTATGATGGTATAAAATACTGCCAGAGTTAAAAAAACCCTGATGTTGGTGTAGCTGGGTTTTGTTCAGGAAGCTGTTGCACTCGCACTCTGTAGTATTTCTCAGTGAATAGTGTAACAAGAAGTTTCTGGAGTGGGAGGAAAAGAAATTTACTTGGGGAGCAGCCAAACTCCTGCCACTGCTGGCTGCACTTGCAAATCCTATGTAGGCAGCCCTTAGTGAAGTTGTGCTTGTTGGAAAGTTACCTAACGCCTGGTTTAGGCGCTAGAACATCAGATGGGGCAAGGTGCCCCAAAGTGAAACTTTGCTTTTCTTTATGAAGAGAATCACAAACCTGAGTCTTTCTCTTATATTGTTTTTATATAGCCATAAAAATAACCTCAAATATCTGTTGAGGATGGGTGCAAGTCTGGCATGCTTTTATTTCCCATTCTCTTTTTTTTTTACTTTAGTTTTCTGAACAGTTAAGTGAGGCTCCCTTTGGAGCTCATCTGTATTGAGTTAGCAAGGCAGGGTGTGTGTAGATATGTGTGCCTGTGTGCTTGTGAGGTCTCATGGGCTGAAATCCTGACACAACAGTTCAGGAATCCGCATTTGGACAGCAGCATCCAAATAGAAAACCTGGCATGGTTTCACCTGCTCTTTGCAGCCTTATCCAAAAAACATCACTCATGTTTGCATGACCTGATCTTTGGTGGAAATCTGTGACATTACTATCAATAGCAATCTGCACAGAAGAGAATTTTTTAAGATCTTTTTTTTATCAAGTTGGTTGCATTTTGTCAGGCTGCCACTAGAGTAAATCTTAAGTATTTAAAATGTAGGTATGTGGAAGGACTTACTCTGTGGAGTGTGCTGTAAATGCTTTCTATAAGGCAAACACAGCAAAGCAGAGTTAGACCATATATTAGAGCATTTATAATAATGGGAATAATAGAGCTAAGTGAGAAATATTAGAACTTTTTACATAATTTCAGGTTAAAATAAATTTAAGTAATTAGACAGTCTAGATTAACTAATAGGTCATAGAGGAAATGTGCACCTGGATTTGCCAGAGAGCGAACTGCCCTCAGCACTGCACTGAATTTTGCCTTGTCAAGAGTTTAAATAGTTTCTACTTGTATGATCTTACTATCTCTTTCAAATGTTCTGAAAGTCGTTCTGAATTATTGTTAGAATAGTCTTAAGTTGTTCCACAGCTGTGTATTCTGAGCTTTCAGTATCAGGAAGTGATACTAAAAGCTCAGAACTGGTTCAAGATGGTTCAGGACTGTCCAGCATTTAAGACAGTAAGAGCAGTAGGGTGTACATTAACTTGGGGAGTTGCCACTGGGAGTCAGATAAGTTAATTCAAAACACAAAAAAAGTTTCTAAATGTTTCCAATGTTGACAAAGATTTGTCATAGTTTTTATTATTATCACCATGACATTCAACTTCACTTTTATCGTATGTGGTTTTGTTTTCCTTAGAGACAAGCTCTTAGCTGTTAATTTTGAATATAATTTTATCTTGCCCTTCCTGCCCCACCTTTTAGGTAGGCAGAATGTGGCAATAAGTAAGGGGAGCAGAACTACAAGTAGAGAGTTACAGTCCTTCTCAAACCACAGAGGATCCAGAAGGACAAGGTGATTTCTCATCCTGACCAAAAGGAAAACTTTGGTTGGCAGAGGAATTTAGGATTCATATACTGCACCTGTCATAAAATCAGCTTTTGGGAATCAGTGTGTCAGTCTGTGTGCTCTGTTCTTGGGGCCTCCATGAGCTTACAAGAAAGAATTTTGAAAGTATAAGGAAGGAGCATGAGAAAATCCCAGCCAGTTTTACCTGGGCACCGGACATCTTGTTGCCACTGGAATAGTTCATACCCCTGTCTGCAAACCAGAAAATGTTGCTCTCTGCTTATGTCTCAGTAGCAGTGATGGTTTGGGGTGGTTTTGTTTGTTTGTTTTGTCTGCCTAACACTCATAGAATTTGAGAAAATCATGCCTCTGTTTTGAGTATTTAATTCCTGGCTTCCTTTTCTATCTGCTTACCTTGAAGAGAGAGCTAAAAGTTGAAACAAGCCCCATTAATTGTTTGTATCTGGAGAATGAAATTGTCTGTCCTAAACTGTAGAAACATAAACAGTTTCTACAGTACAGGATTAAATAGCCTTTTGAAATCTATTCAATTATTTTATTTCCCTTTTAACTTTTTTCCTCCTGCTAAATGGAGACAGTTGTCCAGGTATTAAAAAGGACTGATGGTTCTCAGACCATTTCTGAGTAATTCTCCTCTGTAAGTAAGTCTACATTTTTAGCTCCTTCTTAATTGTAGAAAAGATGGAAAAACAACTTTGGTCAGCACAGGTGGTAATTTCTTTGATATTTATGGATTGTATTGAACTGTCTTGTCCTGAGACCAAAACCAATATCAGTAGATCTTTCCTAACTATCTACATGGCAAAAAAGTTAAAGACATTTTTTCTTTATTTTGTTAAAAAGTATAGTCAAATGACTTAAGGATTGTGTAGAAAGATAAGTGCCTCTCTTATTCAAGATGACTCTCTTTCTTTTTCAAGCCCTGCTATTGTGTTAATAGTATGAGTCAGAAGAAGGATGAATCAATCAAAAGTCTTTACAGAGTAACAATAAGAAATGTTCTTGCTGGGTAGCCCTTATCTTTGTTACAGATCAAAGGCTGAAAAAACCCAAACCTTAAACAAAAAATAAATACAAAGATGAAAGAATGCATCTGGTCTTTTTGGGTAATACCCAGAGATTGTCCTAAATTGCGTATCTGAAACAACAATTATTGCTCTAGAACCATACTTCAAATGAGGCTTGTGGAAGCATGCTTTTTTTCTGCCTTTGTTCTTTTAATAAAGATAGATAAGGGGTGAATGAATTAAAAATAAAACAACCCAAGACATAAAAAAATTTACAACCTCTCTGGGAAGGCTTCAAAGCTGTGTAAAGAGCATTTTCTTCTTATGTGGATGTCAGCACAAGTAGCTGCAAAACTCAGGTGAATACCTTGCACAAGGTGAGGCCCTGACAAAGACTTGTAATCCAAAAAGTCCAGAGGAAGTGGCTCCCCCAACCTGGAAGTGTGGATTTCTGGGGAAAGGCTTTGCCAGACCTTTCCAGAAGTGCTTTTCCAGATGAACCCAGCTCCAGATGCACTTGAGAGAACTTTGAACCTGTCAGAAGATTGTAGGAGATGGACTTTCCACCTGCATGGTAAACTGGGGGGGAAGGTGAGTGGGACAGGACTGGGAGAGGATAAATGTCACATTCATATTTTCTGAAAAATCCCTTCACCCAGGATTTTTCTCCTGGGAAGCTGAGAAGCCTCAGAGAAAAAGGAAAACAATAATTAGGTGATTTGCTTCTCCTGTGTTTTGCAGCTTTGGAATGTGGTTGGACATTATTTACCCACAGGTGATTGTTTCATTGGGTTTCTGTGAATTATTTTGACTTATTGGCCGATCAGGGTAAAGCTGTGTCAGGGCTCTGGAGAGAGTCACGAGTTTCCATTATTATCTTTTTAGCCTTCTGTAAGTATCCTTTCTGAATTCTTTAGTATAGTTTAATGTAGTATTCTTTAATATAGTATAATAAAA